ATCTAGGCTGGAATTGGATCGAGTAGGATCAAGTTCATTTTATCATTTAAAAAATGATGAAAAGCTCATTTGTCTAGCTAGTTTTGTACAGAAGCTAATTAAAATTAAATCAAGGGAGGCAGAACGCAGAAGTCAAATATCGAAATGTATATATACATTTGGATTTGTATTGAACGGCATTCGATTTTCTATTAATTTTTAGGGTACAGATATTTGTACTCGCGAAAGAAAAAATATATACATATAGAAAAATTTATATAATGCACAGGAATGCTCAGGAATCTTAGATATCGGTTCAGAGAAATGCTCAGGAATCTTTTGGCTAGCTAGTCTCATAAGGTGGTGGGCTAGCAAACGTGTGGTTCGAAACCTCATATTTTTTATTTATTTAATATTAGGTCATTCCCTAATATTCGTGTTTTTTATATCAATTTAAGGTGCGTTCTATGTAGCGGTTAGAATTAGCTAGTTACCTGCAAAAGATAGTGTAAACCTTTAACATATGATTAATTTAATATTATGTACTATATATAAACTATAAAAATGTATCAATTTGATTATCTAAAAAATTTTTCCATGTAAAGTTTTAGGACGAAACGTATCATTTAATCTTTTAAAATGCGTGCTCACGTTTAGCAATTACTACTAGAGTGCGACCAATTACTTTGGGCGTGTGAGCCTTGCCCGACTAGTAATCGATCCAGCCGAACGTACGTACACGAGTGTTGGCCACATCGATCGATCGATGTCACGTACGGCTGCTCCACCGACCGATCGACGTGTCCCGACTCCCGATCGATCATCCACCGACCGGTCGCTGTGCGTCGCTGGCTTGCTGCCTCACCTCAATCGCGCGCTACTGAATGTGGGTCCCAGCTAATTCGCATGTGGCCGCTGGTTGAGAGGCACAGTTTATTTTTATTTTTTCCTTTTTGTCGGGATGGTGTAATATATGGCTAGGCTGTGCGTATATTCGTCCAGTCCGTGCACGATATCTATCGATCGATATATATCATGGATTACGTATTAACCCACGCTAGCTATCATGTTGTTGTCACGTGCTCCCCCGTTCTAAAATCTCTATCTCTATCTCTGTATCTCTACTATTATAAAAATTGAAGATGTTTTTGTCGGTACTTTTGATACGTTATCCATGTATGAGTTAGTTTTTAAGTTCGTTTACTTTAAAAATACATATCTATATTTTTGAGTCGGTTTTTAACATCGTTCACTTTTGATAATACAGAGGGAATCGTATAAGAATTCTGTTAAAAAAAACTCGCATGCTAATTTGAGACGATCGGACTCCTAACTACACCTCATAATTTTTCTAAAAATATATATCCAAGCGAATTTTACACAGTGAATTTCACCTTAACTAAACCATATAACAATAATAAGATTAACATAGCAATTCACCCGTTGCAACGCATGGGTATTTTTCTAGTAAATATTAAATATAAATAAATAAGATGTAATATATTCTTTTACTATTGGATAAGAAAACAAAGGAGCAAGCAGTAGATTATTTAACTAATCACATTAGCGGGTACACATATATTCGTGTTAGAGTACGTACTAGTACAATATTCGTGTGTGTTTGGTCGGCAGCTTACAGCTTACCAGTAGCTTAGACCATCTAGTTGGACATGCATGCAAGTGCAGCGCAGCATCATGCATGGTCGGTCGATCAGGTTGTTAATTAACTGTGTCTTTCGCCCCCCTGATATGTACTACCTCGTCTCGGAATACAAAGAGTTTTTAAAGTTGTACACAATTATTAAGAAAAATAGGTATAATTAAATGGTGAAAAATTATGATTGATTGAGAGGTGAAGGTATGTGAGGAATTTATTGGTCGAAAAAAATGTTGGTGAAGAAATTGTTATAATTTAGGATAAATTCTAAAGACTAAAAGTTGTCGTATCACCGGTGGAGAAACCATCTTTTGTTGGTTGGCCAAAATCACAATAATCCCGGTTGCAATAAAAATCGAGACTAAAAATGATCTTTAGTCCCGGTTAAAAACATCACAGCTATTTTAAAAATCATCTTTACTCCCGGTTCATCCCGTGTCAGTAGTCTGTTAGGGGGCCGAGGATCTTTAGTCCCGGTTGGTGATTAAAGATCATCTTTATAGTCCTGGTTGATAATACTAACCGGGACTAAAAATTATATTGATCTTTAGTCCCGGTTATTATTACCAACCGAGACTAAAATTTAATACGTAGTATATAATCCCTATCCCTTATCCTCTCATACACTTCACATATCCCTTCCACTTCCTCTTCACATATCTAATTCCTCCTCTCCCTCCTCCCCTTCCTCCTCCCCTCTCCTCCCAATCCTCACTTCACATCTCCTTACTTCCCATCCGGTGGCCGGCAGTGGCGGCCCGGCGGCCGGTGAGGCCGCGGCGGCGGCGGCCATGGCGGGCGGCGGCGGTGCCGCGCGGGGCGGTGGCCGGCAGGGGCGCTTGCAGCGGCGGCCATGGCGGGCGGCCGGAGGTGCCACGCCCGGCGGCGGCCGTGCCCTCTCGTTTGCCGGCCGGCCTCTTTTCTTTTCTTTTGTTTTTTTTTGATAATTTGTGATTGATTGAGATGTGTAATTTTGTGATTCATTGCATGGATATGAGATGTATAATCTGTAATGTATTTGATTTGGGTGTATTTTTTAGGATTTGTGATGTATTTGATTTTGAGTGTATTTTTTTAGGATTTGTGATGTATTTGATTTATGTTTATAAGTAACTTAAGATTTGGAAAGTTACTTTGAATTGGGGATTTGAGGATTGATTTAGGGATATACATGGCACTAGATTCGGGAGAAAAATATAAAGATTAAATCTGGCAAAAGAAAAAAAAAGACACCATCTGAACTGACGCTACTCTCTCTTTAGTCCCAGTTGGTATTATCAACCGAGACTAAAGATTTCTCTCTTTTTTCCCGGTTGGTAACACCAACCGGGACTAAAGATCGATCTTTAATCCCGGAAGATCGCTATCTTTAGTCCCGGATTTATACTCCCGGTTGGAAAATTGGATTATAGGGGGTTACCAACCGGGAGTAAAAAGACTTTCTCCACCGGTGTATTTTGGACGGAGAGAGTATTAATGTATGTATATATATGCTCCAGATCTGGGTGCTTCCATACAACTCTGGATTAGTTAGTTGCGCAACTTACATTAACGAGTGACTAGTTTTAAGGTCTAATTCGGTTAATCCTTTTTCAAGAGATTAAATATGATTTAAAGGAGAATAATTACACACATATTAGATGTGAAATTAATTGATGCTATCCAACCCCTTTATCATAAGGAGTAATCGAACAAGGTCGAAACGAGATCCATGCGATAGAATGCAACGCAACCCCATAAAAAAAGCCTACGGTACAATTTTTTTTACTGTGCATAGGAATAGACCAATGTTGCTACAGCCACTCGTACGAACGGTTATGTCACTGCGTTAGGCACAGAACACTGCAGCAACAGTGAATTTAAACTTCGCCTGTGCTCAGTTCCCAAAACAAGAACTTTTCATCCATCGTATAAATGTGAAAAAAGACCAATTATATAGCTTGCGTGTAAATTGCAAGACAAATCTTTTAAGCCTAATTACCCATGATTTGATAATATGGTGCTAAGTAAATACTACCTTCATATTTTAATGTATGACGCCGTTGACTTTTGTGCAACGTTTGACTATTCGTCTTATTCAAAAAAATTTATGTAATTATCATTTATTTTATTATGACTTGATTCGTCATCAAATGTTCTTTTAGCATAACATAAATATTTTCATATTTGCACATAAAATTTAAATAAAACGAATGGTCAAACGTTGGTTGAAAAGTCAATAGCGTCATACAGTAAAATACGGAGGGAGTATTTGCTATTTGATTAGGCTTATTAAATTCGTCTCGTAGTTTCCTGGCAAAATATATAATTTGCTTTGTTATTAGATAACGTTTAATACTTCAAATGTGTGTCCGTATATCCGATGTGACACACCAAAAATTTTTTTTTACCATCTAAACCGGGCCTTACTGCAAAAATCCTTGTGAACGGGCCTAGCTATTAATTTTCATAATCTTTCTGATTTTTCTTTTTTTTTCGATAGCTATATGTATTTACAAAAGGAGAAAAAGTAACCTACACAGCAACACATGATCATTTCGATTGGCCGAACCAAGCAAATCCGTCTTAATTAATTAAAGTACGTCGTCATCATCGTCGCGTCTACGTACGTGGTAAGTTCGCCGGTAGCAGAACGCCGACGTATGTAGGTGCGCATATACGCATTTGACGGCCGGCGCTGGCGCGGCTAATACAAGCCATGGTCATGTCTTGAAGTGTGTTTGATTAATTAATTACTCTCTCCGTTGCAAAATAGGTACAATTTTGTACTGTTTATATCCAACGTTTAATCGTTTATCTTATTTAAAATTTTTTAGATTAATATTATTATTAAATAATAAAACATGAATATTATTTTATGTGCGACTATTTTTTTTATTTTTTCATAAATTATTTAAATGAAATAGACAATCAAACATTAGACACGATATCTATGGCTAGACTTATTTTGAGACTTAGATAGTACTAATTAAGATTCAGCTAGCGTATCGTGCTAAAATACATTACCTAGCTAGCACGTATTACTGCCGCTACTGCTACAATATATATTTTATTGCCAGGATGTGTACAAGAGATAGTGCAAGAAAAAAAACAAAAATGATTATACTTGCCAGGTATTTCTATATATGCTTGTATCGAATTTTATTTATCTTTCAGCTAATATGCGGATGGTTATAGCGAGAGTAGCCATCATGTCCTAACCATACCATCATTGCCTGCGCCGAGAGAAAGATCCATGACGATCTCGCCGATCTAACGGTGGTGCTCGATTGTGACATTTTTGTACACAATGGGGGTACACAAACAAGTCGATGTGGCCGACACAATCAGCTCCATGGGCATGGACGATAAAGTGAGACCCGCCCTTCTCATGGACGTGCATGCCGGCCATCATGTGCCAAGGAGCCGAGGACAGGTCTTGAAAAGAAAAATATCACAAGTAACATTTTGCAGGAATGTGAGTGTGGTGTAGCGTGTGTAGTGATATGTGTATATACATATATGTGATGTAATTTATTTGAAAAAAAAACTATTTCAATTACCATGAGAATTAATTAAATAACGGAGAAATAATACTTGGGTTTCGTTTGGATGAACAAGCCCAAGTAATTATACAAATGGCCCTATTCGTTTTTATTAAAACTAGCTATGTGGGGGCTATTTTGCGATGCCCAAATATAAGTGGATGGTGGTTGTGAGACAAACTTACCATTAACGGTTCCCTAAACCGCAAAACCGGATATATCGACCCCCGAACTATTGAAACCGGTGCAATTTGACTCCCTTGGTGGTTTTGGAGAGCGGTTTTGCTGGCATAGCGCTGATGTGGCGGATCTGTGAGGTTGACGTGGCACTTAGGTGGCATTTGAATTAAAAACGTATGCGTGGGACCCGTTTGTCATTCACACACATAAAAAATTGTGGGGCCCACTGACATGTGGGCCCCACATGTCATCCCCCTCTCTCTTTCTTCTTCCTCGGTTCCTCCCTTCTCTAGTTCTCTCCAGAGCAAGTGCATCGCGCCGTGCGCCCTCACCGCCTTGAGGATGGTGCTCCACGCAGTAGCTCGATGTCGAAGTACTTGGACATGAGGGGGAGGATGTTGTTGTAGAGCTTCCTCGTCTGGCTGAGCTCCCGCGCGAGCTGTACGTCCTCCCACCGCAGCTGCTCGTTCTCATCCCCCATGTCACTGGACTCGACACCGCCGGAGCCGGAGCCGGACGGCGCCTGCGGCAGCATGAGCGGGGGCTTGGGGGATGAGCTGGAGGATATGACCTGCTCCTCGCCGGATAGCACCGGGGAGTAATCCCGTGTCGTCACCGGCAGCGCCATCGGGATCGCGGCCGCGACCGTGACCTCCCCCATCGTCGTCGTTGTCGTCGTCGCTGGCGCCGGCGGCGTCACCTTCTGTCGGTGTATCTCGCAGAGCAGCCGCCATTCCCCTCGCCGGAAGCAATCGTTGGTGACGAGGACGCCACAAGATCCCCTCGCGCGGCGCTGCGGGTTGGTGACGAGGATGCTGCGGAGGAGGCATCCGGGGGCTCGTCTGCTGTGTCGACGCAACCACACCGCGCAAGAGGATGGTGTTTGACTCGCGGAGGATGGCGTGGCGGCGGTCGGCGGACGTTGCGGTGTGGCCGGAGTCGCTTGTGGAGATTGCCCCGGCGGTGAGGGCACACGGCGCGATGCACTTGCTCCGGAGAGAAGAGAGAGAAAAAGAGAGAAGGGAGGAAGAGGGAGGAACTGAGGAAGAAGAAAGAGAGAGGGGAATGACATGTGGGGCCCACATGTCAGTGGGCCCCACAATTTTTCATGTGTGTGAGTGACAAACGGATCCCACGCATACGTTTTTAATTCAAATGCCACCTAAGCGCCACGTCAACCTCACAGACCTGCCACGTCAGCGCCATGTCAGCAAAACCGCTCTCCAAAACCATCAAGGGAGTCAAATTGCACCGGTTTTAATAGTTCAGGGGTCGAGATATCCGGTTTTGCGGTTTATGGACATATATTAGATTCGGGTCACTTTTAGGAGAGTCAAAGTGGACTTATTCCTTTCTCGATTTATGTAGTAAAAATAGATGGCCCGTCAGTTCGGCCCATACGGACAAGCTTTTAATGGGCCCGAGCACTGGAGGCCCACGCACGAATCTATGGCCCACATGTAAGTCCTCGTTCCATCCTCCCTCCCCCAACCCCACTGGCCCCACTCTCCCGAGTCCCCACCACCTCATCTCTCACCCCTCTCGCATGGCGTTCGCCGGCGCCACCGCCGCCGCCGCCTCTCTCTCCTCCTCCGCCCCTTCCATCCTCCTCGTCTCCGCCGTCACTCCCCCGCCCCGCCTCCTCCCCACAAGCTCCATACTCTCGCCGGTATACAGCGCCAGGCCCAAGCGGCCTCCTACTCTCTCCTGCAACGCCGCCGCCGCCACCGTCGCGGCCGCCGCTGCGGGGAAGCCCGGGTCGTGGAGGGACCTATGTAGCCTCAACGCCTGGGTGGTGCGGGACTACCGTCGCCTCGTGGACGCCGTGGGGGCGCTCGAGCCGCGGCTCCGGGGGCTCACCGACGAGCGGCTCAGGGCGAAGACGGACGAGTTCCGCGCCCGCCTCGCCCGTGGGGAGACGCTCGCCGACGTCCAAGCAGGTACTCAACCCGCCGCCGCCCGCCCGCCCGCCCAGTGCTGAAACTGCTGCATTCTGGCGTTTTTGTTTGGTCCCCATCTGATTGCGTCGGTGCGTTGCTTGCTTCTGCTGTCCAGAGGCGTTTGCCGTGGTGAGGGAGGCGGCGAGGAGGACGCTGGGGATGCGCCACTTCGATGTCCAGGTATCCTGACCTCAGCTTGGTCAGTTTTATGTTCAGTAATTGGTTGGGGATGATTGAGCATTTGAGCTGGTGTTGATTGTGGGAGTGATTCAGCTGTGTTTCCTTGATGTTTGTGTTAGATAATAGGTGGTGCTGTACTGCATGATGGGTGCATCGCGGAGATGAAGACTGGCGAGGGGAAGACGCTTGTGTCTACCTTGGCGGCTTATCTCAATGCGCTCACAAGCGAAGGCGTTCATGGTACTATCTGAGTTGATATCGTATTTTGTTGATCATCTGTCTACTTTAAGTTGTTCTGTGGAATCTGTTGCGCCATGTGCAATTAGGCATTTAGGCTTAGTGTATGACTGCACATTTTGTATTTGTAGCTGTCACATTCCATACATTGACTACTGTCTGCTGCTTCTTCACAATGTGTTAAAGAGTTAAGACATTTAGTGGATCACATCTTTACCTTGTCATTACCTTTAGATAACTACGCACAAAAGACGTGCTAGTCATTTATGTAATCACTGTTAGTATGAAATATATGCTTCTTGGTCATGTTTAAAGATCCGAACAAAGACAATTATCTAAGGTCGATTTTCTTTGTCGCGTATGCATTGATCTGTCGCACTTAGAACATTTCATATTAAGCTCTATTTATCTTTTCCTTTCATTCAGATTTTATAAGCACTGTGATCCTTTTTCAGTTGTGACTGTAAATGATTATTTGGCACAGCGAGATGCTGAATGGATGGGTCGTGTGCATCGTTTTCTTGGTCTTTCCGTGGGTCTAATTCAGGTATTGACATTATGGTGAACAATGCTTTTGTTGTACTTTCTACACCTTCCTCTTGCTGGCATTGAAATACCTGGTAGTGTTACTTTATTTTGTAGAAATCATTGGAGGCAAACATATAACATTATAACTTTGTGTCACTCTGTTTTTTTACATATCCTCAAGGCTGGTATGAAGGCTGACGAGAGAAGAGCCAACTATAGGTGTGACATTACATACACTAACAACTCGGTAAGATGTCCAATAGAGGATCAACATTTAAATAGTCTTATCACGTGGTTATCTAGATTTAGGGGACAATCTTTTTCTCCGTGGTATCTTTGTGTATTTCTTCAAGTTGACTTTGACACTTTGATTAGATGCTAATTGTGACCAGCACATACAAATACTTGTATATGTGACCTTTTACCTTCTTATTTAGTACTTTTATGGTATTATTTGGTGAGTTCTCCATACATCTAGGTTCTCAAAGATTACTCATAACTTACAGGAGCTTGGATTTGACTATCTTCGTGATAACTTATCACGGAACAAAGAACAGCTAGTTATGAGATGGTACATTTTATACTTTCACTTTTACATTGCAGAACTTTGTTCTTCATGTTTCCTTTTGATTCGAAGGGAACACATTAGGAGAAAATTTCACTATTAAAATTAACACATGATTTAACAGGCCGACACCATTCCATTTTGCAATTGTGGATGAAGTGGACTCAGTGCTTATTGATGAGGGAAGAAACCCATTGTTAATAAGTGGAGAGGTTTATTGCTAATTCTTTCTCTAGGCTTATTCTTTTAGACATTTGTTGTTTCTCAACTGGTCAAAATGTAATATATTTACCAAACTTATTGTAAGACATTTGCTAATTCCTGCCCTGTTATTAGGATAATAGAGATGCGGCACGGTATCCAGTAGCTGCTAAAGCTGCAGACCTTCTTATGGAGGGTTTTGTGAGTATTGTTCTTGTATGCCAAACCTAAGTATTACAAGGGGTCATGGTTTTCTAGTAATTGCTAAACTGTTGTATTAATTTATTCTGCAGCATTACACTGTTGAACTAAAGAGCAATAATATAGATCTCACAGAGGATGGAGTTACTTGTGCTGAGATGATTCTTGAGACAAATGATCTATGGGATGAGAACGATCCATGGGCAAGGTGCAATCACTGTTTATTTCTTTATGTAGTTTTTGTCTGAATGTGGTTTTCTTGCTTTGTGCAAGTGCAAGTATTGCAAGACAACTAATGAAGTGCATTTCTTTGTACTTTTGTGGAATGCATTAAAATTGATGAGCCCTAACCAAGCAAGGCAGAAATGTCATTGTTCTTCCATGGCAACCTTGAGTTGTTTAGAATGGATTGGTAGAGCTAAAGAATGTGAACTATACACACAGTACCCTTTGATGAAATGAAAGAAAGGGCTCCGTGTATAGCGAGCGCCTCGCCGTTTAAAAGGGAACCATAGAAACGATGAACCCACTATTTTTTAGTATAGTTAGAATTTTTTATTTCTATGCGAAATAACTGAAGGGAGTAGAAGAGAATTGTGGTTGGAAAATAATAATTTTATGCTGATGCACATCTTTTATCACCTCCACATCCAAAAAACTGCTGAACCTATAGAGTTAATGAATGCTGCTACATGATAGGTACAACCAATATAATAGCAACTTGTGCATGCATTAACTAGTGATTTTAACCATAAACTTGTCACAATGCTACAGATTTGTGATGAATGCATTGAAGGCCAAAGAGTTTTACCGCAGGGATGTCCAATATATTGTGAGGGATGGAAAAGCTCTCATAATTAATGAGGTAATATCTCTGTTTCGGTATTGTTGACAAGGATTCTGTTAGTTTCATACTTACCATAAATCCATAATACAGAGACAAAGCTGTCTGTTGCGCAAAATATTGGATAAGAGCATAACATTCTCTTTCAAAGAACCAACTCGGCAGATGTTAATTTCAAAACAAGGTTGCTTCTCTAAAGGATATGTTCACAGCAAGGCTTTTTTGGTGGATAGGAAGCAGAAATCTATCATTGTTACACTGTATCATCCTAATATCATGTAAAATTAGATTGCAGGAGTCCCAAACAATTGTCAATGTGTTAGGTACAAATATACAATGCTTTCAGTTGTATTGTTGTAAATCTGGTAGAACGTTCGAGAATAACATAGCTCTGTTAGCTCAAACCTTCATTGTATCCAGGATGTGCTATTCCTTTGTGACACTTTCCATTTCTTCAATCTTGGGGTACATCTCCTCTGGTAATGGTAGCAGTACAACACCCATCTAACAACCACTGAACAGATCCCATTACAATACACCAATGCAATTCTAATGCTGACGTGCCTTGATAGGCTTTGCAAAGTAATCTACTTTATCATGGGATGACTAAGACTTCCAATTGTTGATTTGGAACTTCATTTCATGCTTTATAGATCATAATGTGGAACCTTTCCTTCAAGGTTGTCATGCCCATCCTACAGTACTGCATTGTTCCAATTAATGGCATTAGTATCATTATTCTTACTCTTTTTGAGGTTATGTTCTATATATCCTCTTGATCTTAAATTTGCCTATGGGTCCGTTACCATTACATATTTTGGGAAGCCTATGATCTGGGACAATAATGCTAATGCTTTTCCAGCTAACTGGCCGAGTTGAACCAAAAAGAAGGTGGTCTGATGGTATTCATCAAGCAGTAGAAGCAAAAGAAGGCCTCAAAATTCAGGTCAGTATTGACTTATGCATAGCCGGTTTATACAAATGGATCTAGTATCAGATTACACCGATTAGTTTCCTTTTTTTTTAATTTATGACAATTTCTGTGACCAATGCTAATTGCAATTTCATTAGGCAGATTCAGTAATCGTGGCTCAGATTACATATCAATCGTTATTTAAGCTTTATCCTAAACTTTCTGGGATGACAGGGACAGCTAAAACAGAGGTACAGATATCTATTTAACTATTTTCTGGGTTATTTTTTACTTTTTATAATTTGTGCTCAAATGGCATGATGATGATTTTACAGGAAAAGGAATTTCTGAAGATGTTTAAGACGCCAGTTATTGAAGTGCCCACAAATCTGCCAAATATACGGGTGGACTTGCCTATCCAAGCTTTTGCAGTAAGGATTGTGATGATTAGTTCATAAAATAATATGCAGTTTCTCTCTTTGGTGACAAAAAAAAATGATCTATATCATTACTCTTTGTAGACTGCAAGAGGTAAATGGCAATAT